ATGTCCCGCTCTGCAGAGTAATATCACCTCTTAAATCCAATTATTAGGTTTCTGTAGGTTTCACCTGAATCACACATCTGCAGACGTGAGATTTCACTTTCAGTCATACGACTGGGATGAAGATTCATATTTTTAGAGTTTGCCACAGCACTGCTGACATTAGCAAAAAACCTTCTTTGCATCTGAGACTGTGTGCTTCCTGACGATTACAGGATGGTGTTGAAAGCTAAACGACCCTAAAATAGAGTCATTTAGTAACCCAACAATCTCAAAGCGGAGCCACAAGAGCTGCAGAGTGAAGCAGGTTTTGCTTACATTGTAAAAACTCACAGTTCTTATATGTGCTCTCTTTTCCAGGCCATTGCTGGTAGATCTGTCAAGTCCAATATCACTGTCCACCTCCCTGCTGCCTTAAAACAAGCTGTGAAAAATGTTAGCAAAGTAACCTGCACTTTCTTCAAGAACATCTCCCTGTTACAGGTAAGGCTGTTTGCCTTCAGTCGATACAGGCACATATGACAGGATTTCAGGTGACCTCATTTAGCTGTCAGCCTGCAATTTTTTTCCAGTGTTCACATTTGCGATACTATCTGGAATACTTTTGTTGCTTTGTGTGCAAATATTTATGCTGCATTGTGTAAGATGAAGGTCAAATTGTGTGTGTTTGTTTCAGGAGGCTCACAAAACTGCCAAGCCTATCAATGATGTGGTGGAAATCACGGTGGAGAACGAGATCATCAGTAATCTGCCTGAATCCATTAGGATTGATTTTTACCATGAAGTCGTACCTGTAAGTTTGTGTGTTTCTGTGGCCTTTAGCCTGTATCAGTACGCTCCCCACCCACTTTATATTACTTAAAGCTACTTCCTTAAACTGACACCTACTGTACCAAATAGTAACTGTTGAATTGACTGCAATGTGCAGCAGTGCAAATATCAGTAAACACACAGGGTGAGAAATATGGCTCAGGTGCAGAAAACAAAAGCAAAATGCTGTTAAGTTCCGTAATATCAGCCTGTCAGCCTCAAAGGTGCAACAAGCACAGAAACCATGTGTAGCAAAAATAGACTGCGGTCTTAATGCGCATAGTTTCTGTGAAGTAGTCACGGTGACACATGAAACTCCCTCTTTTTATGTTAACTGTGATCTAAATATTCTTTAGCATTATGGCGATACACGGTGAGCCAGATTATGTATGTAGCAAATAGGAAACAACTTTAAAGGAACTAAAATGTAAATATGTGCAACAAATGCGATATATGCACCTTCTTATTGGGAGATGTCTGCAGCTCACATCTTTGTTCCCTCTTTATTTCAGGAAAGCTATTTAAGGACATGTGTTTCTTGGGACACTAGAAAAGGTTGGAATCCTTTAGTGGCCATGCATACAGTGGTTTGCACAAGTATTCGGCCCCCTTGAACTTTTTCACATTTTGTCACATTACAGCCACAAACATGAATCAGTTGCATTGTATTGGTCTTTCACGTGGAATTCCAAAGTGGTGTACACATGAGAAGTGGAATGAAAATCATACATGATTCCAAACATTTTTTTACAAATAAATAACTGCAAAGTGGGGTGTGCGTAATTATTCAGCCCCCTTTGGTCTGAGTGCAGTCAGTTGCCCATGGACATTGCCTGATGAGTGCT